ATACTTTCGAAGTCAATGGGGACCAACAACTGTTTGCAACTGTATCATTTAAATGAAGTTGCAGTTTAGTACATTTAAAGGTGACATATTATGCCCCTTTTTACAATATGTAATATAAGTCTCTGGTGTCCCCAGAATGTGTCTGTGAAGTTTCAGCTCAAAATACTCCACAGATCATTTATTATATAATTTTGAAAATGCCTATTTTGAGTGGAAGCAGAAACAAGCTGTTTTTCGGGCCTGTGTCTTTAAATGCAAATGAGCTGCTGCTCCCCGCCCCCTTTTCCAGAATAGAGCTGAGCCTTTACAGCTCCTATCTGCTAAAAACATTTGTTTTGGTTTTGATTATCATGTTTATCATGCTGAAATCATGCGTTTTAAACCGTATGAGTTTAAACTTAAGATTTTTTTCTGAGCGCACGCATCCGAAGCACACGGACAGAAAGCTGCTGTCACAGCATGTGAGTACTAATCTAAGTTCTCATTCACACACAAGTTTACGTTAAAAACACACGAGTTACAAAAACAGTCGGTTATGTCTGTGAAGGTAAACAGCTGGGAAATAAATCGCTTGTTTATTTTAGATCTGTGTGGCAGCAGCAATATACAGTAAATAAATCAATAAATCCACTGCTCTCTTGTCTCCTCTGAGGCTGGGACTGTAAATAGTGTTCTGTGCTCGTCTGTGCAGCTAAAGACAGAACAGTTAGCATGTTTTGCTCAAACTTTCGCCATGGCATTAGAGCTGGTACACCGTTGTCGCTTGCAAAATCAAAATGACGGCACTGTGCGTGTAATCTTACAGATTAAGGGGTGGTAAGGAATATTATAATAAGATCCCTTTGCCACGTCACCAAGGGAGCGAAATCAGACGCGCTCGTTTTCTCAGACGCTTGCAGAAAAAGGCTTACCTAAACAAAGTGATTGGGTTAATCTTTTTCACGTTTCCTTGGTTGGTAGATGCACCAGGGACCTGATTATAGCACTTAAAACCTGGAAAAGTCAGATTTTCATGATATGTCATCTTTAAAATATATTAAGTTTAAATGTAATATCAAATAACACTACAGTTATTTTATAAATGATAATAAAGTACTTAACATGTTATTAAAACATAATGATTTAAAATGTATTTTAAAGGAAAACTTTTAACTTGAATAATTATAAGGTGTGCTCAGAGTCAGTCATGAAAGAGTAGGCCTACTCTTTTTAAGTATACTGAAGTGGCTATTTATTTTATTAGTATTATATTATCTACAAGTGCAGTTTTTAAAAATATATTTTATAGTTTAAGATTTTAAGTACACTACATAATTTAAAAGCATAATGATTTACAATGTACTTTGAAGTAAAACTTCATTCAGTGTGACTCACAGTCGAGTTAAAATTAGTAGGCCTATAATAAAATAAGTTTCAGTTTATTAATGTGAAAAACAAAAATACTATTTAAATTTTATAATGTAAATCTAAACAAGCTGCATTCCAAATTTGAGGTTGATATTGCAAAAAAAAAAAAATTATTAAATACAATTTCAGGCTGAAACAATCTTTAATGTAATTTCATTTACAGTTTCCATTATCTGTAAGATCTTTGGTTGTGACAGTCATCCAGTATTTGTAAAAGTCAAAAGAGGTAGAAAAGGGCATCACAGGTTCAATAGTCTCCAGGTTGCAAAGCACAACAGCGTTTCTTTGAATCCCAAAAACAAAACTACAAACGTGTTTTGTTTGGTTTTCAGTGAAAACTCAAAGGTCTTTGGAACATGATAGGGCATCCCACAGCAACTCAGCTAAGCAACAGGCACTTAAACATAACAAAGACCAGTAACAAAAGACAAAGACTTTGCAATGACAGGACTGCACGTACACAAATGCTTAATCCTGATCATGGTATAGTCTGTCAGAGTGATGCACAATGAAAATTATATTCTCACAGACTCCACAACCCTGTCTGAAATCAATAAGCATGTCTCCGAAGGTTCTCAATAACTATGCTGATTTTGCATAACAAACTGATCGAAGATATTAATATAGCTGCATATCTTGCAGCAACATACGCAACATAGTGTCTGTGAGAAATCACCCAAATGAGTTCAAGCTGGTCTCAGCAACTTGTATTTTTGTCATAATGGTATTAATTCTGTTAGCATACTTATGGCATTCATTTATGGCAAAAAAAATGCTTACAATTACATTAGCTAATATTCAGTTAATACTTATATACATGTATAAGGCACATATTTTATGTCCTGAGCTTTCATCTTTTAAATGACTTTTTCTCTTTTTAACAACTCATTTAAATAATCCGGCAGTGTGAAAATTTATTTTTTAAGTAGTCTCTTGATTTATAAGATCATAAAGACTGCATGTATAATAACTGTAGAGTGTTGTTTTTGATGAAGTACAGGCAAGTATTTACATTTATACTTGCAGTGCATGCAAACCACGGTTTAGTATGTGTGTAATCAAATTTAATTTAAATTTACCCCTTTAGTAAAAATATTGGGTCATAAGCTCTTTCTCTGTAACAGACTTGGGGATGTAACATATGCAGCAAAACATCTGCATTATTGATCTCAAGCTGGGAATGTCAGGATATAAATGACTGTTTCTGTTCTTGAAATGACCTGAAAACCCATATGGCTCCAAAACAGTCAATGGAAAGCTATTTCAGTCTCAGATTTGCATCTGCGCAGCACAGAAGGGTAACACATGACTGCAAATGTGCGGAGTCTCATAGGGAAATGTAACTCATTAATAATTTTAACTGTTGAGTGTCTAAGGGGTGGCATTCATTCCTGCGTTCAAAAACGTTTAGGTGGGGCGCAACGTAAGGGGACGTTCACGCAGGAACGTAGTATACACACTTGTGTTCTCTCCAGTGTTGCCAACTTAGCAATTTTGTTGCTAGATTTAGCAACTTTTCAGACTACCGTAGCAACTTTTTCTTCCAAAAGCACCTAGCAACAAATTTAGCTATTTTTTTTTATTTATTTGGCAACATTTAGCAACTTTTGATAAGTGACTCAAACGATAAAAAAGGCACACATTTTCCATCTAAATTACACAAAAAGAGGAAACCAAAGGTGCCTAGCAGTACACAATTCACATGAATTAAGTTGGCTGCTATTAGCAATTGTTTAATTTAATAATAATAATAATAATTGAATAATTGTTCATTTATGATACACCTTGTTAGTAGCTTGTACTTGAGTTTGTTGATCAGTTAGTGCACGGTAAGCAAAATATCTAGAAAAATGTAGTAATTTTCTAAATTAACATATTTAAAAAAACATTTTTTTGCTGAGATTTGATGCAGTGACACAATTTTGCATCGTGATTACGCAATGACGTCACCGCGCAATGACATCGCGTCATTTAGCAACTTTTAGCAACAAATCAACCTTCCTTTAGCAACTTCCCCTGAAAATTAGTTGGCAACACTGGTTCCCTCTGCTTCCAGATTCGACTTCTAAAAACGCGTCTCCGTTCGATTGCGCTCTTTGACGCATGCATACGTAACCCTATTTAAGCGTTCCTTGTTGCTTTATGATGTTCTTCCCCCAAGTTCTGATTTGATCATTTGTTTTATACACCGCTTCTGTGTTATTATTTGATCAATGAGGGATGAGGATCCTATGACACTTCGACTGCTGCAAAAATGAGAATTAAAACTGTAGGACATTTCCAGTGACGTGATTTTACCTCACCTGCGCAGTTTTATTTAACATTTTGGCGGTTGTTACTTACCCAGCACTGTCACACTCTTCACATCTCCTCTCTCCAACATGTGAGAGTCTAAAACCCGGTACCAGCCGTTTGGATAAACCGGCGGTAATTCTCCAGTCTTCCGTCGCCGCCGCACTTCGTTGGCAGCCTGGGCACGAGAGCGCCCGTCCTCTGCGATGTACCCCACCTCATCCACACCGCGGAGCAGCTCCAGAGGAGCGAATAACAGTCTGTACAACCAGCCCATCGCTAGGAGCAACACGCCCGTGAATATGCAGGCTGCCGCCCGCGTAGGGGCTCCTGCCAGTCCGGTTTTACGCCACAGTTCTGGGTATCCCCCTCCGAGCACCGTGTCTGATGGGTCTTGAACGAGCATGACTAACGTGGCGGTGAGACCGATCGCTGCCACCGCGGCCGCCTTGAACATCAGTGATACCCTCGAATTCTCCATGACAGCTGCGATGTCACATACGTACTATGACAGTCAGTCAGTGCTCTCGATTAGCCCTCCTTCTCATTTTAGTTTCTATGTAGACAGTAAAGCGGTAGTGTTTGTTTATGCATGCTATACATTTTTTTCTAGGGGTCAAAAACAGCATATGTCCGTAGCGTTCATGAGAGCCGTGGATACGTGATGCTGTGCGTGATTGACATTCACGAGGCCACGCCCACACGCAGGTGAGCTTTCAGATTCAGAGCCATAAATGTACAGTGCGACACTGTACATGTACTTTTACTTCGAGCAAAGTGCAATGGCGAATTTGGTTTTTATTCGGTTAATAAATAAACAAGTAATTTCAGTAGCAGCGAACATGAACACCCATTCATCATTCCACAACTGTAGCATATAACTTTGTGATATTTCCCAAAGAGATTAAGAATTTTAATTGCTTCGTCAATCTCCAATAAACCAGTATCGCAATCCATAAACGAAACCTTTGTAGGTGTAGTGTGTATATATATATATATATATATATATATATATTCTGTGTCCATGTTTTGCTCCAGTGAGGTCCTGACTAAATTCAGTCTTGATGGGGACCGATAGCACCGGGATGAGTTGGTTCAGGGCCCCTTGTATTATTTAGGCTTATGTGACCATGCCAAGAAACACCTTTATTTGAGTTTTCTGAGCTTTTAAGAATCATAGAAATGACGTTAACTGAAAAAAAAGTTATCTTTAGTCATCTTTAAGCATCACAAAAATAGCATTGGATTCTTTTGATGTCATGGCAAGTTAATACAGAAAACATGACAGCGTGTTTTGATCATCATATATTTTGTTTATTGCATGAATCTTAGCATCATGTTCACTGCTAAAATGTCTGCATGATTCTCTAGTCAGGTTGGTAGTGCTCAGTTCTTCTGGACACCAGGGAAGCTGGCAAAGACGGTAGTCCAGTAGTAAACCAAACGCGTTCTCAACATCTGCTTCACACTGTCCCTGTTTATGTTGTTGTTGATATCCAGGTACTGATGGCCATTGCTGGCAAACTCAGGCCAGGTTACAGGAACACTGGACTCACCATTGTTAGGGTCACTGTGAGGGAGAAAAGAAGACATAGAGTTAGAAATAACATATAGGGTCATTATAGTTAACTGAAACTAAAAAAATAAAAAAAAGTGTTACTTGAAATAAAATGAATGTTAAAGGAATAGTTCACCCAAAAACCATCCAAGTTGTAGATTAGTTTGTTTCAGATTTGGAGAAATTTAGCATCACATCACTTGCTCACCAATGGATACTTCTGGCCAACATACCAGTCAGCAATCTATAATAACGCTTTATAATAACGCTAATATTTTTTTATTGCTTATTTCTCTCCTCATTCAGACAAGCATTATGTATAGAGGACTCATATTTTAGCCTGAAGCAACGATTTGAAGTTAAAAATGTCCTAATGATGAATTTGTTTCTTATAAACACGTAGCTTTCTCTACAGAAGACATTAATTGATGGACTGGAGTCATATGGATTACTTTTGGATACTTGTGATATTTTTATCAGCCGTTTGTACTCTCATTCTGACGGCACCCATTCACTGCTGAGGATCCATTGGTGAGCAAGTGATGTGATGCTAAATAAATTTCTCCAAATCTGTTCTGAGGAAACAAACTCATCTACATCTTGAATGGCCTGAGGGTGAGTAAATTTTATTTTTGGGTGAACTATTCCTTTAATCGAGAGAGATATATATAT